TTTTTTTCATTTTATTTCTCCCCTTCTGAAAGAAAACTTTCAAATCCTTTAAAATGCAAATGGCCAATTACCCCACTTTTCAAATTTCGATGCTTACCCGTCGCACTGGCCATCGGTCACCGGCGTCAATTAGTTACCAAAAAAGGCCAATAAGTTCCTTTTGATCCCCTTTTTCTATTTCCAAACTTCATTTTGCCTAAAAACCAACCTAAAAGCCTAGATATAAGTTTGAACCCACGACTTCAACACCAAAAACAACCTTTTTCCACCGCTCCAATGGTTGCTATTTCAAACTATGTCCTTCACCGAGTCTTGGCCTTCATTCTTACCCAAAAATACAACCTCAAAACACTTCAAAATCTCTCAAATTGAAAGCTTTCTTTTTTTTTTTTGGTTTAAAATTTTTGTGTGTTTTTTTTTTCTTTTTGGCTTTATGGTGCTATGGTTCCCTAAGTAGGGGTGTTGATATATATATATATATATATTTGCTTTTTGGTTAATGATAGTAGGAGCAACATTGTAAAGTGTTTTGGCTGAAGGGTTTGGATTTTTTTTGTTGTATGTTTTTAGTGCTTTATTAGGTATCGGTAGGTTGGCGTTGGGTTGATTGACAATAGGGGTCAAATAGTAGTAGTGATTTTGGTTCAAGGTGATGGTAATGAATCAATTGTTGAAGATGAGTCATTAGTGGAAGGTTCGGTGTTAGTTTTGTTATAATTATGAGTAGGCTAAGTTGTGTATGGCAAAGTTTGGTGATAACTAGGTTTGGGTGGGGGTTTAGGTGGAAGTGGTGAAAATTGTAGTATACTATTTGGTGAATGGCCAAGGGTTTTGAACGGATTTGGCTTTGTCGAGGTTGAGGGCTGGTGAAATGGTGGCTAAACTTTGGTACAGGTGAGTGATAGTTAGGCTATAGTGTAGATGAATAGGGCTATGGTAGGTGTGGCAAAAACTTGGTTGTGGTGCTGGAGGTTGATCACAATGATGGTGATTTTGAGTTGTGGTTGGTGGTTCTTTTGTGATTCAAAAGGAATTTCGGTTGTATTTTTTTTTATGGATTTTAGTAGGCCGTTGTAGTGGTTTAAGGCATGAAGGGATGGTGGTACTTTTGATTATAAGGGAGAAGGGATGGTAGATTCTAGTTACCCAAGTTTGGTTATGGGTATGGGATTTTTTATTGCTTTTTGGTTGATGGCCAGAGGGGCTTCTTGATTTTTTTTGTGTTGTGCTTTGATGGTAATCTTAGATAAGGGGGGGTGTTTCCGTTGAAAGTAGAGAATGTGAAGATAGGTTGTATAGGAGCCAGTGATAGAGCTTATGGGATTTTTTTGCCAATTTTCTACTGTTTATTTTTTCCCCTTCCCCAATCCCCTGTGGATCTTTACCTATGTCCATTTTATTAGCAATCAAAGACTAGGTGAAGCTTCCTGTCTTTGTTTTGAAAAGTAGATTCAGAAATTTGGACCTTTGTGGTGTGGGAGATGAAAGTTGCTTAGCTTTAGAATGTTTGCTGAATTGGTATTAAAGGTGAATAGGTGAAATTTGGGATAAAATAAAGAATGCTAAAAATGATGAGATAGCTAGGGGGAAGATATGAGAAAGTTGGTTTGCCATGCTAACCAACTTTCAAGCTTTCTTTTTTTTTTTGTTTTGTTTTATCAATGAATAAAAATAATTAAATTTAAAAAACTAAAATTGGGCCTTAAAATGTTAAACTTTAAAATTTGTTCTTTAAATTTTGATCTTGGATTTATCCAATTTTAAATCAACCCCAATTAAATTGGATCAGATTTTAATACATGCCAAAATTTTTTTTTAAATAATAAAGCCTAAATAAGCTCGATTAGATATATCCAATTAAAGTGCTCAAATAAGCCCAAATCGAAGTGTACAAACCAAGCACAAAAATTGAACAAACTCGAATCTATTCTAGACAAAATTAAGTTTCTATATCTTTCTTATAGTTGTAAAAGCACTTTATATTTATAAAACTCCATTACTTGATAACGAAAAATTCTTATTCACTAAAAACTCTTATCCGTTAAGAATATTTATTCTTAATAAACAACTAATTTTTTAACTAATAAAATTTCATTAAAATTCAAATTGATTCCCAATTAAAATTTGAGTCAATATCTAACAAATCTCCACCTTAACACAAATTTTACTATAACATTAATCTTCAAGAAATCTAGACTACAAATAATTGAGTCAGTGCTGACTCCACTCGATTCAAACAAGATGATCAATTTTTATATGCAGCCAAATTAACTTTATATGATTAACTTCACCTATAACTAATGTCTTATCGCAACATATCTTCTTTTACATGTTGTCTATGATCTTATGAACATAATCTATAATAACAAATTTCCTTCCACAATTGATGTGGGATAACCGACCTAGAAAACCTAACAACAATCAAGCATAGGACCTTATTTCTTATGCATTGAAAGAAAAGAGAAATCCGATCAAGAAGATAGCTACATACATGGAGTGCACCAACAAATCAAATCCATTTTTCTTTATTTATTTGCATTAGGCAAAGGATATAAAACAAAAACAAAAAGCTTATTTTCAGGAGAGAAAACTTCTGGGTTCTGAGACATGCAGACTATACACCCCCAATAAATGAATTTCCAGTTGAAGCTGTCTACTTGTTGGCCTCATATTTGAAGGATAATGCATGGTTCTCACTACGTCAGGATCTCGATGAAACATGTTATGAGCTTTTTCTATGGAAAAGTCCACATTCACTTTTTTTTTTTTTGAAATTAAATAAATATTATTTGTACATAGAATTTTGTTTTTCTATGCACACTCTGTTTTGACTTCATACATGTTGAGTTCATATATGATAAACAATCAATAAATAAATTTTATATTTATAGTAAATCAAATGATATTATTTTATTAATAAACAAATATTAGTTTTTAAAATAAATTATATAAAAATTAATATTAATTAAAAAATTTACTTATTAATGAAATGATATCATTTGATTTATTTATTAATAAAATGATATTATTTAATTTATTATCAATTTATAAAATTTTATACTGATCGAATATATTATGAAAACATTGGAGGAATAATTTGGATCCATATTTAGCTTATAAAATGGGTTTTGCTCTTCAAGACGGGAAATCATTATAAAATGGGTTTTGTTCTTCAAGCTCTGAACCATCAATGATGTCTCCATACGCTTGTTTGTGTTGATTATACAAAACCAGCTCAACATGAGCACAAACAAAACAACCCATTCCAGGGCACTTGCCTCCACCGACTAAGAAGCCAGTGCCAAGAACCTCATTTCCGAAGCCTCGTCAAGGAGAAAAGCCACCAATTCTTTCTTTTGGCTTTTTGACTTCAAGAAACCATCAAGTTCAAAGAGATTTGTTGTCTTTTCGTGCATGGAGATTCGGTTGGTGGAAACAGGCATCACCAAAGTCACAGAAATAAAAAACAATAATAATGCCAATACTGATACTCAATCATGCATTTTAAACATTTTGTTCCTTCAAGGCCAAAGCTACATAATAATTGGATAAGCTACCACTTTAACGTTCATCTAATTTTCAAATATGTTCAACAAAAAGGATGGTAGGTAAGATATGCTTACTAAGCCGCATGTAGGTTTTGAAAATGCTATTTCTTTCATATGAAAACATTGTTGAGGACTTTCTGCGTACAAAGGTCGGAGACTAACAGTCATTTTGATCGAATTGCCTGTTATTTTGATTTTAGATAGGAAGGGATTAGAGTAATACTAACCAAATATTGCACCCCCTAGTAGTGTAGAAAAATTCATTATCGAAGAGAAATTTGAAAAAAGAAAGAGTTGAGGGTGGCCAAGAAAACACCGGCCAAAAAGTTTGATTTAGGGTCTGTAAATATCAAGGCTACTCCGCGCCCCACACCACCACAATAGTTGGATTCCTTTCCAACCTCAACTTAAAAGTAGCTAAAAATTAGCATCTTCTCGCCTATGTGGGATAGACAACTCTGGGTTGTCTCACCGTTTCACGAGATTGTTGCGTTAAAGCTCACAACATACAGTAAATTTCTCTCCTCAATTGAATTGAACCATTCAAATAACTTAGTAGAAGCCTCTGTATTGTGTCCTCGAGTTTGCCTGTGGTTTTAGTGCTAAGCTACTGATACACCTCTAAGTGATATAAAAGGGAAAAAGAAATTGAAAAAAATTACATGCAATGATAGTGAAAGAAAGCTGTTTCTGGAACTTAGTCAGCCAAGGTACAGTCAACAAGCAGGTTAAAATACTACTTCTAAAGTCAATCAAGATCATTAGATGCAAAAACAAGTTTAATTTCCAAGTCCTAACTAGACAGAATTTGGTAACTGAAAACAAAATAGAAAGAGAAAAGGAGTATTCATCATCAGTGTCAACCTCTCTTATAGGCTTTGTTTTCTTATAGCTCTGCCATTACATTTGAAATTAGTAAGAATGTTTGCAATCCAGAAGAAACTTTGCTGTCATCAAAACATTTCTGTTATCTTTCTTGCAACAGTCAGAATTTGTTAATAGATGAGTAATTTATTGGTAGAATGAACTGTTAATTTCAGTAATTAGAATTCAAATTTTGATAACTTGTAAGACATTAAACCTTTCATGATATTACAAGATATGCAATTTTATCCTAGGGGATTATTTAAAAAACTCTCTTCACTTTGAGTTTCTTGTTCAGATATTTTCATGCCTCAAGCTTCTTATCTCTGTTAGGATGGACTGTTGAGCATAAATCAAGGAATAAGAAGCAAATATAGCAGCTCAAACCACCCTTTTATAATCTTCTTCATTCGTGAATAAGGCCTTGTATCATACTCCAAAATTTCAACTAAGTGGGACCTTAATGAACCCCATTACATTTATGAATTAATAAAAGATTTACAGATCTAGCCAACTACTTGATAAGGTATGAAACGAGAAATTTTTGACAAAAAGGCTCCCTTACCACTATAAAAAAGCAATTCTCATTACACCATCGAAAGACAGAGCTCAATGATGTCTCTTACACGCTTGCTAGTATTGCTCCTTGGAGTGGTGGTTCTCACTACTCCGTCCCTTGGTACCTACGAGTCACCCAACTATGGGAAACCACCTACTCCTGTCTACAAACCTCCGGAGGTGAAGCCACCACCAATTTACGAACCTCCAAAGAAACCAGAACCTAAGCCACCCAAGCCCCCTGTCTATGAACCTCCAAAGAAAGAGAAGCCAGAGCCTAAACCACCTAAGCCACCAGTCTATGAGCCTCCTAAGAAGAAGAAGCCAGAACCAAAGCCAGCTAAGCCCCCAGTTTATTCACCTCCAAAGAAAGAGAAGCCAGAACCCAAGCCACCAGTCTATGAACCTCCGAAGAAGCCACCAGTCTATGAACCTAAGCCACCAAAGCCACCAGTTTATGCACCACCAAAGAAAAAGAAGCCAGAACCCAAACCACCAGTGTATGAACCTCCGAAGAAGCCACCAGTCTATGAACCTAAGCCACCAAAGCCACCAGTTTATGCACCACCAAAGAAAAAGAAGCCAGAACCCAAACCACCAGTGTATGAACCTCCAAAGAAGCCTCCAGTGTTTGAACCAAAGCCACCAAAGCCACCAGTTTATGCACCACCAAAGAAAGAGAAGCCAGAACCCAAACCGCCGGTGTATGAACCTCCAAAGAAGCCTCCAGTGTTTGAACCTAAGCCACCAAAGCCACCAGTTTATGCACCACCAAAGAAAGAGAAGCCAGAACCCAAACCGCCGGTGTATGAACCTCCAAAGAAGCCTCCAGTGTTTGAACCTAAGCCACCAAAGCCACCAGTTTATGCACCTCCAAAGAAAGAGAAGCCAGAACACAAACCACCGGTGTATGAACCTCCAAAGAAGCCTCCAGTGTTTGAACCTAAACCACCAAAGCCACCAGTTTATGCACCACCAAAGAAAGAGAAACCAGAACCCAAACCACCAGTATATGAACCTCCAAAGAAGCCACCAGTATCTGAACCTAAGCCACCAAAGCCGCCGGTTTATGTACCTCCAAAGAAAGAAAAGCCAGAACCCAAGCCCCCAGTCTATGAACCTCCAAAGAAACCACCAGTATATCAGTCACCTTATGGTCACTATCCAGGACACCCTCCATTGGAGAAGTCCCCATCACCTAGTCATCCGAACAACTAAACTAATATGGCTATATAAATGGATCAGTACCTACAAATAAGAGCTACTGTCAACTCATATTCTATTTTCTTGTATGTCATGTGATGTTTTCTTGTTTGTCAAGTTTTATGAGAGACCACTGGCGAGAATGCTCATATCAGCCCTCTTTGAAATGTCTATTCTATATCTTCTTGTTGCTCAACGAGCATTTTCTGATTCAACTTATATACGAAATGCCAATTGCAGGAGTGTTTATCACAGATTAAATTTCTTGTATTCTCATGCATGTGCATGCCTTTTTGGCCATCCAAAATAGCCCCAGAACTCAACTTTTCTTATGTTTTCAGTACTTGCATGGAGAAAATGGTGGTAGATATGTTGGTATAAGATAACAAAAGTAAATTTGAGGCAATGATGACGGTTGCAATGACCAATCTTCTAGCATTTGCAGTGCACATGAACAAGAAAGGAAACGAAAGCCATCACCTTAAGAAAATTGGCTAGAAAACTATGCAATTTCATCTCTATCAATGTTTTTCAATATTGCTTTAATCTGACTAATTTCGCTCTACTTTAAATTTTGCCATCAACCAGTAAAAGTAAGAGAACAGGGCTGTATTCGACTCTGGCTTGTCTTGACTACCAAATTATCTTCTGTATATACCTAACTGTAGGCACCTTATCCGGGCAAGATACCTAGTCCTCCACCATCCTGTTTGAGGATATGCTCCCACCTTGTTACATAATTAGAGTTTTAAAGGGCCTAAAAGAGTTCGGAGTCAATGTCACTGGCAGGACCTCATATATCTACAAATATCAAGTACTTGAAATCAGTCTTTAACTTTGATTTGCTTCTAATGTTTGTTCCTTTTCTATTTTCAAAAGCTATATATCTACCTGCCCAAGATCCATGTCTTAAACCACAATCTAGTGTATTCCATCATGTTAGTTCGTGTATTGAGCCTTGAGCTTGTTTGACACACTGAATTATAAATGAACAAGCTTTGTTTTTGTTGAATGATAGGAAGAGTCAAGCAAGCATTAACGTTATTTAGCAAAGTTGCTCCTACATATAAATGCAAATTGTGATTAAATTTCATTAGAACAGGATATAAATAAATGCTTTCTTTTCTTCATGCATTTCAAGTTTTCTATTTTCTAGCGCAGTTAATTTGTGGTACTGAGACCAATATGATTACCCCCGAAGGAAAGTTATGTATTTATCATTCACCAATAGATTCCAGGTGATGGAAAATGATTGGCAAAACCAGTAAAACGGTGTGCTATGCTTGACAGTTTAGTTCATCAGTCAGTTTCTTTTTTCTGGCACTGACAGAAACATTTGACATCCATATCTGTGGCTTTCATAAAACGAGGGAATATGCCTTTTGGTCATATATTTCCAAGTTCAAATTGATTGAAGATGATGCTACTGAGATATTACAGTAATGGGAAAAGCTTAATTTGGTGGAGTAAATCATGCCGCACATACATTTAAAGCTTTCTAACAACTCATTTATCTTATTCACAAGTCTGCACCTAATTTGACCATGTTGCTATATTCTTTAATGCCGTTTTGACCTTTAACTACTAGTTTGTGTTAATCCTCGACGGTTCGACTTAATGGTTATAAGTGAAGAGGCATTGAGGTAACGTAACATACAATAAACTTGGAAGAGATAACATGCAAAAGTAACAAGCAATAATAATATAATAGAGTACAAATTTTAATGTAATGTTACATATCTAACATAAAATTGATTATACGCGAAAAAATTAATTTGAATATAAGATTATAAAAAATTTAACATTTAACATACATGAAATAACAAAAAAAAATCTCTCAACTACTTAAAAATCAGTGAAAATTTTTATTGTTTTATTTAAGAGTAATAAATATACTTCCAATTAAATCTATGGTTAAAATTTAATAATTTTAAATTAAATATAAAGATACATAAAAATTAATTCAAAAGATAAAAATAATTTCAATAAATATTCATTATATATTTAATTAAAAATGTATTTATCACCCTTAAATAAAACAGTAAAAATTTTCACTGATTTTTAGGTAACGAAGAGAATCCTCTTCTTGAAATAACACTACTTTAATGGTTTTTGATCCACATGAAAATACAAAGAATACCTTCTAAACTTTAAATAAAATGTTTATATTTTATGTACTGTCAGTATATAAATTTTATAAATTATCAATAAATTAGATGATATAATTTTATTAATGGGTAAACATCAACCTTATTTAGTAAAAAAAAATCAATTCTTAAAATAAATATGTAAAAAAGTAATATTTTAAATAAAATTTATTAATGAGATAATATTATTTGATTCACCTCATTAATGAAACAATATTCTCAAATTCACTAATAATATATGAAATTTATATATGACAATGCATAAAATATAAATCATTTAAATAATCAACTAAGAAAAACTTACCTTAAACTCAAAGAAACTGTTAACAAGATTGTGATGAAGTGCCAGTTTTCTTAGAGAGAAAAGTAATGAGACAGGACCTCTTAATGATATTTAAGTTGTGAAAATCTGCATTTTTTTTGTTCCTGTTAGGATTTGCAAATCAACAGACAACTTTTTGACACGAAGGGAATACAAAAGCGAGTATGATAAACTGACAGCTTTGCTTACATGCTATTCCATGCATCTAGACACTACTATGGAGCTTCAGTCGATGTCATGCAAAGAAAATATATGGACATAATTTCTTTCAACATTTAGCACAGACCACAAAATTTTATGTGCTGATCCATTAGACATGATTATCTTTTTCCTACCGACTCCATAAATCAATTTGTTCTGATGTGCCACTGCGTTGTCATAAATCTCATTCAATGTCTTCTGAGTGTCTCTGTTGCAGCAGATAGCATTTTATTGCCTCATTACTTAGAGTGAAAGGTGCATCTCTTAAATGTGACGTAGTAAACCAATTTTCCAACTACTAATTTGAGATGGTTTTGTAGTATGTCTTTTATCAAAAAACCCCATCGCTCCTCACTGACAGTTATATGTCTACATAAATTTTGCAGTCTTTTTAAGTTTTAAGCTTATAAATCTGCCCATATTATCATATATAACATCACTAAGTCATTAACTTCAATGTCAGAAGATGAATAAGGATACAAGGAAAAGGCAAAAGCATGAAACCTCTAGCTAAACATATTTGTTGCGGATGATAGAGGTCATGCTTAGGCTTGGCCCTGATCAAGAGCAGTAAATTCATTGTGTTATTGGCTACCAGGTCCTTTCAGGCTTAATAAGACACATGCTTATTAACATTGTCATAGCAGCTGCATGTTCCATCCCTCCCTCCCCCAATAAAAGACACATATGCTTCTTTCTGCACCGTCTTCCAACAACTAGGAAAAAATGCTGACAGCTTTCAATTGGTTCAACCATGATGAGACTGAATTCAAGGGGGATGGATACACATTGTAATGAACTGCACATCATACAATTAGGCTAAGTTGCTTTTAAAATTCAAGGTATCCAATTAGTTTTGGGGCATTAACCCTTCAACCAATTATGACTAGTTTCCTCTGTCATGAATTTTTAGTGTATAGATGTTTGAAATTATGAAGAGACTACTCTGCCTTTAACATTTTTACCCCAAACCAAATTATTGCTGAAACCAATGTTACCACTAGAACATGCATGATCGAGTTAAATCAATCAGTATCATCATATAGATAATATTGTTACAAGGTTGGAATAATCTGCTTTCCCATGATTTGTACTGGAGGAGCAAGAAGTGGAGATTTTATTTGACCCACCAAACTACTTCATCCTCACAGTCACATATGTCATCAGTAGACCCTAGAAAAAAATAGCCACAAAATGCCCTAGAGCCCTTAACCAATATGGCTTCCAATACCTTGCTTCTCGGTCCACCAGGGCTTCACCGATTCCTTGCCTTGTACATCCTGACTTTTTATGAATAAATGGTTTTTTGTGGCTGAGCAAAATAAATATGGCGATTCCATGGTGGACTCCATCCAAGCAGGCGTTGACAGCATTCAACTCAACTCTGTCAAACAGATCATACCACGCTTAGGGTTCCCAAAAACGAGCCCTTCATGTACTCAAACACTAGCAACCCTTGCCTGGACTTGTTCTTCTCTGCCTTACCGTCGACGCCAACTCATCCCTTGTTAACTGGTTCGCAAAGGCCTGGTGTTATGACCCTTAAACCCATTTGAAACTTCTCTGCAATCTAAGAGTATCCATGGCACTGGAAGGTCTGATAAAGAGAGCTTTAATACCTATGCATTGTGGTATCATAATCTGTATCCAATTCCATTAAAACAATTTTACTCGTAATATCACGATGTATAAAAATCTGATAAAGAGGTGTATGATTGATTCGTATCAGAATGTAGGTGACCAATGTGTATCACAATTTGTATCTCCAGTGTGCGATGAAGGTGTATCAATAACAGTTTCATCTTCCATTTTTCCTATTGTAATAGTAATACTTTAATATAAGATGAAGGCTAGTACAGCATAAATAAAATCCCCTGGAGATATATGACGAAGCCCTCCAGTGCTCCAATTTCTTTGATATTTCTACTGTTAGCTAATGAAATCTAGATGGCAGTCTCCATCCTTTTAGCTGATGATGATTGACGATCATTATGAGTTCATCTGCATTAAGAATAAAATAACTCTTCTTATCTTATGATTCACCTTCTTTTCTCAGCTTCAATTCATCATTTTAACTGATATGTAAACATGTCAGATGATCGTTTCTGTCTGTATCTTTTGTTCTTTAACAAATAGACATGTTTCTTTCCATGTAGTAACCACAAACTTAGGGCTGATTCCTGAACAAAATGGCAGTCAGAAACTCTGAATAGCTACCTTGAGAGAGGCTGTGGAAAAAGGGAGAAAAAAAAAAAAACAGGATGCGTTGCATCATAACCTTTCTGTCACAAAAATATATTGGCTAAATTACATTAATAATTTTGAGGTCTTTTGATTTTGGGCTGGACCAGCGAAGCCAAGACACTAATTGGTTTTCAGTACCTTCTTGAATAATATTCTGACCTAAAATTCTTTCAGCCGATTGCTATAAAATTTTGAGTGAATTCAGATTTCAAAGATGTCAAATCTCTGCGAAAAATATTTTACAGAGCTGTCAATTTTAAATACAATATCATACCACATGCAAATAATTCAAAAAAAACAAAGTTACTTGTTTAAGATTTTTATTAACAAAAATCATATAATTATTTGACAAAAATAAAATATATATAGTATATAGATAAAAATTGTGACACGATTTATTTAATATGAAACAAATATGATATAATTACGCAAATTACATATCTATTTTAATACCTTAAAATGAAATGTAACAAGAAATTTTTTGACAAAATGACACCCTAAAACATGAAAAGTTTTGAGAAGTTTAAGCCATCGAACATATTTATCCTTACCAACTCATGGCATAGGTGAATTAAAACAGTTAAGGGCAACAACAAATGCAGACTATAGTTGGTTTTTTATTCTTCATGTGGTGACCTGATTATTGTCATAACGGTTTTGAAACTATTTGAAAATTTTGAAAATAATAATAAAAGAAAACGAAATTATTACCAATTTTTTTTGATCAAGTGGGATTAGTCACCT